CGTGGCCTCACAGAGCACACCCTTGGACAGATGGAGGGAAGCAGACACCAAGGGGTAGGAGGAGGCAGAGAACACACACCTCAGGTGTGTGTTTAAAGACCACAGCAGCTACTGGTGTGGGGGTGTACACCTGTGATCCTAGAAGTCTGGGAGACTGAGGCAGAAGGACTGCACATTCAAGTACAGCCCAGGCAACTTAGCAACTTAGTAAGACTCTGTTTCAAAAAATTTTTAAAAAGAGTGGGGCCTCCTTTTTGATGTCCCTTGGCCATGCTGTCCTGCCTTGGAGCCAGCTGACGACGGACTGAAAGCTCTACAAACTGTGATCTTCAGTTTGAAGGCTGATGGCATGATAGAGATTTGTAACCTGTTATTTCAAATAGTTGGCCCTGGAGAATGCTACTTTTCTGTTCAATGCTCCATTTGGTGTTGTGGTGTCCTAAGGGAAAGATTACCACATTTAACACCAGAAAGGATTTAAGGCAGCTACAATATACATATATATATATATTGTGCGTGTGTCTTCGATTACCAGAGTAATACTGTATATACTTATGGCAGAGTATTTAACAAAACTTTAAAAACTCAAACTTAACAAAAAGATTTAAAAGTCCCACTAAATAGAGGCCACTACAACATTGTGATATATTTTCTTCCAGTGTTTTATGGATTTTGTTCTTTTATAACTGGGCTCCTAATTATATACTTAACTTTACAATTTTCTGTTGTTGCTTAATGTTACATGTACTTGTCCATGTAATTGGATTTCTATGGCTACCTAGTCATCTACAGTATAGTTACACTATGCTTTATTCAAGGTAATTCCTGATTACTTATGATTACAAATAATAGTGTGCAAACAGCACTGTGCATAAATCTTTGCTGTTATCTTGGATGTCCTACAAGAACAAATGGTTGATTAAAGGCATGTATTTTTATAAGTCCTTTATATACGCTGTTAGTCCAATTTCCAGAAAGACTGTTATTAAATTACATTTGGAGGCAAGGGAGAGGGAGAGCTATCAGAACTACTGGCTCTGGTAGAAAATATATGACAGAAGTTCTTACAAAGTACAGTAGTATGCCTCTGGAGAAAAGGCACTCTTGAAGAGGAGATATTTTAAAGCATTAAAATTTTCACATCAAATTTTCTAAATCACGTAAGACATCAGGGCCACGAAGAGAAAGGAAACCTGAGAAGAATCTGACTTAAAAGCTTTACATAAACTGACATGCTATCATGTCAGAAATGATCAATATGGAAAAGTGCATTTACCAATGTTATTAAAGGACTCAAATTTTTTCTTTTTTTTTTAGACATAGTCTATGCAGCCCAGACTAGGCTCAAGCTTGTAATACTCCTGCCTCAGCCTTCCTACTACTGCAATTACAGTTATACACAACTATTGGCCTTCAAATATTAACTCAGAATATTAATTTTTATTATAAAATGTCAGGTCTATTTACTTATTTTTTGTGATTTCATGCTATTTAATGGAAAACAACTGGGCTGTATTCCATTAGTTATGAAATCAATTTGTTTGCTATCATCAGTACTTAAAAGAAACAAAATACAGCAGGCATGGTTGTGTATGCCTGTAATCTCAGCACTTTGTGAGGCTGAGGCAGGAGAATTATAAGTTCCAACTCATTCTGACTGACTTAATGAGACCTTGTCTCAAAGTAAAAAATTACAAAAAAGGAGGAATCTAGTTCATTTCAAGGGCCTGGGTACTATCCCCAGTTTCAAAAACAAAAACAATAGAACTGAATTGAAAAGGCAGGTGTGGTAAAGGAAAGTATTTCTTTGTCATTATTTTGTTCAATTCACTCATCGAGAAGAGAATAATAATATCTTGCGTTCATGTGTGGAGAAGAGATTACTTAAGCAGAATGCTTAACGCATAGGCAGTGATTGATATGTAACTACTTCGGATTCTTCCTCCAAATAATGTCATGTAAGGCTACTTTAATGAAAGGGAAGACGGTCTGTTTTATTGATGACTAGACCCGCTACACGGTATTCTAGTTTTAAAAACACCTCCCTGAGTCTTTTTCTCCATTTTGGTTTAGTCAGGAGACTTGAACAGAGTTCTTTCGGGTTCTCACACTGTACTTACCTATACTATGGATTTGGGCAGTTGACTTCTGCCATATGCTGTTTAATTATTCCATCCTTAGCTAGAACTTTCGGATCTCTTCTAGTTCCTAGTCGGCGCCGGGCACATGGCAGGGGGGCCTGACGAAAATCTGTGGAGTTGGGGCTGCAGCACATCTTCTGCAAAGTGTCGCTCGTGGTGCACAGGGAGGCAGAGGGAACGCTGATGCCGGCAGCATTTCTCACTCAATCTACTCCATGCTAAACAGGCCAGGCAGGCATTAAGTCATGTCTCTGGGTAGCACAAGTGGAAAGTGTGAATCGAGAAACCACTTCACGTGAGGGCAGCGGAAAATTAGATCCCTCGCCGCCCCCCGCGCGCCCCCCTCGGGGAGG